ACACACAGTGAACACCCCTGAACACAGTGAACACCCCTGAACACAGTGAACACCCCTGAACACACAATGAACACCCCTGAACACACAGTGAACACCCTGAACACACAGTGAAACTGAACACAGTGAACACCCCTGAACACACAGTGAACACCCCTGAACACACAGTGAACACCCCTGAACACACAGTGAACACCCCTGAACACAGTGAACACCCCTGAACACAGTGAACACCCCTGAACACACAATGAACACCCCTGAACACACAGTGAACACCCCTGAACACACAGTGAACACCCCTGAACACACAGTGAACACCCCTGAACACACACGATCATTAGAGGGAAAACCATAAATAATGATGATAATAATTGAGGTGTCTCGCGTGTGAACCAGAGACCGTAAAGGCAGGAAACGAGTGTACTGTGTCCACTCGACCACGGCATCCAGAGTGAATTAATGGTATTGATGACGTTAATGAGAACGATGGTTATTGTCTGTATAATAATAATAATATGTAATGACAAATAGTAATAATAATAATGATAATAATAATAATAATAATAATAATAATAATAATAATAATAATAATAATAAGGTAAAACAGTGAAATATTTAATCGAATAAATGCACACAAAAAAAATTCATGATTCCTAGGCCATCATAACCTAACCTAAACCTAACCTAAACCTAACCTGGAAGCCGGAGTTTAAACCCTAAACTAGACCACTAAAACCGTAGACTCCAGGACATAAAACCCCTTAATATGTCGCCTATGAATTGTCTAGAACATTAGTCAAACTTCATGTGAGTAACGACTATGTTCGAGGTAATATATTAGATCTGGGTGTTCAATAGACCTCAGGCCATTAAAACGTCACGAATATCAACAAAGGTGTGTTGCATTGTGGGAGGGAGTAACCTGGGGTAGGGGGGGGGGGATAGGGGAGTGGTTTATTTACATCGTGACGTCATGAAAGGGGAATGGCTTCGAGGATGGTGGTGATTGGTTAGATGGGCCCCCAGTCCTGATAGGCCCCCCCCCTACCTTAACTAAATCCTAAACTTTGGGCCCCAACCTAACCATTAGGATTGAGGGCCCATTCCTATTATGCCCAATCCTAACCTAAAGAAATCTAGCTATTAGGATTAGGACCCAATAGAACTAGAATCTACTAGGAGGAGAACCCGGTAGAACTAGGAGCCAGTGGTTTAGTAAAATAAGTACCGGGTTCAATTAGGACTGAGGCTCATTGAGTGCAACAAAGGAAGGGTTTGGTTAGGTTAGGTTTGGTTAGGTTAGGTTAGGTTAGTTTAGGTTAGGTTAGGTTAGGTTAGGTTAGGTTAGGTTAGGTTAGGTTAGGTTAGGTTAGGTTAGAGGTAATTAACATATAAATGGCTCGTGAAGGTAACTACAGTATTTGAGATTGAGAAAGACGGAATAGAGAGAAATACGAACAAAAGGAAATAAATATGAAAGGAAAAATAGACGTAAAACACAGGGGGAAGAGAAGAGAAAAAAATAATGAAAATCAATAAAACTGAAAAATATTGTTAAAAAAGGAAAATACCTCAAGAAAAGGGAATAGAAGAAGAAAAGGAAGACCAAATGAGTAGGTAAAAAGGGTAAGAGAGAGAGAGAGAGAGAGAGAGAGAGAGAAGGGGGAGGGTCAGGGAGTGTGTGTGTGTGTGTGTGTCGAGTTAATCCCAGGCAAGAGTTTATTTACCGAGGAAATTTAACATAGTGTCCCAGAAGATCTTTATCGTAAACCTTGTAAGTACTTGTAATACATCACTGTGTGTGTATGTGTGTGTGTGTATGTGTGTGTGTGTGTGTCTGTGTGTGTGTGTGTGTGTGTGTGTGTGTCTGTGTGTGTGTGTGTGTGTGTGTGTGTGTCTGTGTGTGTGTGTGTGTGTGTGTGTGTGTGTGTGTGTGTGTGTGTGTGTGTGTGTGTGTGTCTGTGTGTGTGTGTCTGTGTGTGTGTGTGTGTGTCTGTGTGTGTGTGTTAAATTATTGTTAATATTAGCTTGTAAAGGCAATAGGAACCGGTAGTTGGGGATATTCTCTCTCTCTCTCTCTCTCTCTCTCTCTCTCTCTCTCTCTCTCTCTCTCTCTCTCTCTCGTGATTAGGGTACACAGGGAGGACACTTTCTGGGTTAACATACAATAAACTGTTATTTACCACTGGGCTGTAATGAGGACGCCAGCTGAATTAGTAAGGATGGGCGGGTACACTCGTAAATCTTCACCCTTAGTGTGTGTGTGTGTGTGTGTGTAGATGGCTATGGGTGTATGTGTAGTCGAATTATATGTTGACATGGGAGATTGTACAGCCAACTACTAAAGCCCTTTCGTCTCTTCCCCCTGAACCACGAACCCCGAGATTCAGACTGGTGAACCCGAAGTAGTGGAGTGATACATTATTTTGATCATAAATGCTTCGGGTTCATAAGTTTGAATCTTGGGGTTCGTGGTTCAGGGGGAGAGTCGAACGGGCTTTTAGTTGACTGTACAAACACATGCCCATTAGCTGCGGTTTACAGTGTATCGACTAAAACATCTCGGTTTGGGTGTACTGTGCGAAATTTGTCGTACAATAGCAGCGTGATATAAGACATAGGCTCAGGTGTATTGTCTGACTGGTTGTAGGTCGTGTGGGTCCCAGTCTTAACCTAACCTAACCTAACCTAACTTAACCTAAGCAAAGGTTACCATGTCAACTCACCACGAGGATTAGGACCCATTAGAAGTGGGGCCTAGTACGCCAGGTTCCCATTTGGCTTGGACCCCTAATTCTAACCGAGAACATTAAATTACGCTTGGTCTAATAAGGCCTGTGCCCCAATTCCACTGGTTAGATTAATTGGAGCTGGGGCCTATTAGGACTGGGGCCCGTTTTACCCAGTTAGCCTGTAGGTGAACAGTGTAACGCGTCATCTGGCCTGACTAACACATATACCGAACACTTCGCTATACACCATTAAGAAGAAAAGGTAAAAAATAATAAAATAAAAAAAATGAAAATCACAAAAATTATGTAATTTTTAGGAGCTGATTTATGAACGTGATTTTTTTTTACTCCCTCTCGGAATATTAATTATTATTTTTTAGTGAGGAGCGAACGTGGATGTGTTTGATAGGAGGAATGCTTAATGTAGAGGGGAAGGTAGAATGAGTCCAGGCGAGACACTGATTTTAATGGGAAAATTATATGTGTGTGTGTGTGTGTGTGTGTGTGTGTGTGTGTGTGTGTGTGTGTGTGTGTGTGTGTGTGTGTGTGTGTGTGTCTGTCGTGGGATAAGGGAAATTATGACAGTAATATACGTGAAGGTTATGACACCGTCCCTGGTAATGATAGTAATTATCTGTTCAGTGGGTTCCTGACGACAGTGCTGACTTGTTGATGACGATGGTGCTGACTGTTGCTGACGGTTCCTTCAGGCATAGTAATGACGGCTTAATGATGAAGTTTGTTATGAAAAAATGTATTCGGTTGAAAGTGATAGCCTCTCTCTCTCTCTCTCTCTCTCACCAGGTATTTACAAGAAATAAGCTACGTTAGGGAGAAATACGTGATGATCGGTAAACAATTCACCTGCGCTAGTGAAGATTGCGTGCAGGTGTGCCAACTGGGCCGTGGGGGAAGGGGCCAGTCAGTCAGTCAGTCAGTCAGTCAGTCAGTCAGTGAAGGTATTTTTATAACACTGTCTGCCTTCAATTTCAATTGTTTATTCCTTGATAGAGGAAGCGGGATCCTAGTGCTGTCACTAGGTACCCTGTACAATGACACCAGAAGCATCTGGCAAGTGTGACAAGTACAGGTATATACAGTATAAATATTATAAAGGGGCTTACTAAAGCCTAAGGAAGGAGGATATTCCTTAACAATTATCAATGTTATTTATATAATATCTGGCCAGTATGGGGAGGATCATGTCTGCCTTTGTGTGTGTTTGTTTGTGTTTATGTGTGTGTGTGTGTACGTCTCTTTTCCTTTTTGTTCTCCACACTGCCTCCTCCTCCTCCTTCTCCTCCTTCTCCTCCTGCCTCCTCCCTCCCCTTCTTCCTTCTTCCTCCTCCTCCTCCTGCCTCTTTCTCCTCCTCCTTAATCCTACGTACTTTTCCTTCTCTTTCCAGTCTCCTACTTCTCTTCTCCCTCCTCCTCCTATTCTTCCTCCTCCATCTCCTCCTTTTCTTCCTCCTCTGCCTCCTCCACCCTTCTTCTTCTCTTCCTCCTCCATCTCCTCCTTCTTCCTCCTCTGCCTCCTCCTCCCCTTCTTCTCCCCTTCTTCTTCCTTCTCCTCCATCTCCTCCTACTCTGCCTCCTCTCTGCCTCCTCCTCCCCTTCTTCTTCCCTTCTCTTCCTCCTCCATCTCCTCCTACTCTTCCTCCCCTGCCTCCTCCTTCTGCCTCCTCCTCCCTTCCCTTCTCTTCCTCCTCCATCTCTTCCTACTCTCTGCCCCTTCTCCCTCCTCCTCCTCCCTCCTCCTCCTCCCTCCTCCTCCTTCCTCCTCCTCCTCCTCCTCCTCCCTCCTCCTCCCTTCTCCCCCTCCTCTCTTCCCTCTCCTCCTCCTCCTCCTCCTCCTCCTCCTCCTCCTTCCCTTCCTCTTCCTCCTCTCCCCTTTCTTCCTCCCTTCTCCCTCTGCCTCCTCCTCCTCCTCCTCCCCCTTCTCCCTTCTCTTCCTCTCCATCTCCTCCTACTCTTCCTCTCCTTCCTGCCTCCTCCTCCCCCTTCTCCCCCTTCTCCTCCTCCTAGACTGCCCGGCAACACAACCCTGGGGAGTTTGAGCTTTAATGACATGTACACACAAGAATCACATCTCACTGTGTACATGTGCTTCCCCCGTGTAAACATTTTTGACGTGTTCCCTGGTACACACACACACACACACACACACACACACACACACACACACACACACACACACAGGGCCTCACCTTCTCTTCACACGTGAGTCCGGTGTTTAGGGATCTCTTGTGTTCCCTTCCTCTGGTGTCTGTCTCAGTCCTCGTCCTCGTCCTCGTCCTTGTCCTCGTCCTCGTCCTCGTCCTCGTCCTCGTCCTCGTCCTCACTTCCTGCCTTACAAAGATTCAGTAAAGTCTCGTGAGTAAAAAAAAGTAAAAAAAAAAAAAATAAAAAAATTGTCGTCCTTCTCTCTGTGATCCTGGCTGATCAAAGTGGATCCTACACGCTTCATAATAGGCAGGAGGCCGAGGGGGGCAAGAACAAGCTACGCCAATGAGGTGTGTTTGGTCGGGATTGTTGTGTCGATAGGATGCGGGTGACGACCTTCAGGATCGGCTGTCTGTCGCCTCCATGTTGTGCTCTTTCAGCCGCTCATAATTTCGTCATTTTGTGGGTTTGTCTTCTCCCTCGTTTGTACTTTTCTTATAAATTGGCGTAAAGAATTGGAAGGGTGACGGAGGGTAGGGAGTATTATCATATTAACGGAGGGTAGGTGATGTTGTCATGGTGACGGAGGGTAAGGTAGTGTTATCTCATGGTGACGGAGGGTAAATTGGTGTTATCCTTAGTAACAGAGGTGAGTGTGTTGTCATGTTGACGGAGGTAGGAAGTAGTATTGTCATGGTGACGGAGGGTAGGTGGTATTGTCATGATTGACGGAGGTAGGTAGTGTTGTCATAGTAGCGGAGGGTAGGTAGTGTTATCATGGTGACGGAAGGTAGGTAGTGTTATCATGGTGACCCCGGAGGAGTGGGTAGTGTTATCGCCGTGTGGAGGTAGGTAGTGTTATCATAGTAACGGAGGGTAGGTGAGTGTTATCATGGTAACGGAGGGTAGGTAGTGTTGTCATGGTGACGGAGGTAGGTAGTGTTGTCATGGTGACGGAGGGTAGGTAGTATTGTCATAGTGACTTCAGGGGTAGAGTGAGTTTGTCATAGTGACGGAGGGTAGGTAGTGTTGTCATGGTGACCGCGGAGGGTAGGTAGTGTTATCATGGTAACGGGAGGTAGGTAGTGTTATCATAGTAACGGAGGGTAAGAGTAGTGTTAATAGTCATTGACGGAGGTAGAGTGAATCATTATCATAGTAACGGAGGTAGGTAGTGTTATCATAGTAGCTGGAGGTAGGTGATGTCATGGTATTCTGAGGGTAGAGTAGTGTTATCTCGTAGTACGACGGAGGGTAGAATGAATGTTATCATGGTAACGGAGGGTAGGTAGTGTTATCTCGTAGTAACGGAGGTAGGTAGTATTTATCATAGTGACGGAGGTAGGTAGTGTTATCATGGTAACGGAGGTAGGTGAATGTTATCATAGTGACTGGAGAGGTAGGTAGATGTTATCATAGTGACTGAGGGTAGGTAGTGTTGTCATGGTGACAGATGGAGTGGTGTTGTCATGGTGACGGAGGTGGGTGGTATATTGTCAGCTGGTGACGGAGGTAGGTGGTGTTGTCCTTGGTGACGGGGGTGGGTAGTGTTGTCATGGTGACGGAGGGTAGGTGGTGTTGGCATGGTAACGGAGGGTAGGTAGTGTTGTCATGGTGACGGAGGGTAGATGGTCATTGTCATGGTAACGGAGGGAGTAGGTAGTGTTGTCATGGTGACGGAGATGGGAATGGTGTTGTCATAGGTGACGGCATGGAGGGTACAGGATGGTGTTGTCGTGGTGACGGAGGTGGGTGAGTGTTATCATGGTGATGGAGGTGGAGTGGTGTTGTCATGGTGACGGAGGGTAGGTAGTGTTGTCATGATGACGGAGGTGTTAGTGTTGTCATGGTGACGGGAGGTGGGTGAGTGTTATCCTTGGTGACGGAGGGTAGATGGTGTTATCATGGTGACGGAGGGTAGGTGGTGTTGTCATGGTGACGGGAGGTGGAGTGGTGTTGTCCTTGGTGACGGAGGGTAGGTAGTGTTATCCTTGGTGACGGAGGAGTGGAGTGGTGTTATCCTTGGTGACGGAGGGTAGATAGTGTTATCATGGTGACGGAGGTAGGTGGTGTTGTATCATGGTGGCCGGAGGGTAGGTGGTATTATCATAGTGACGGAGGGTGCAGAGTGGTGTTATCATGGTGACGGAGGTGATGAGTGTTGTCATGGTGACGGAGGAGTGGAGTGGTGTTGTCCTTGGTGACGGAGGGTAGGTGGTGTTGTCATGGTGACGGAGGGTGGGTGGTGTTGTCTCATGGTGACTGGAGGTGGGTGGTGTTGTATGCATGGTGAGCAGGTGGGTAGTGTTGTCATGGTGACGGAGGTGGAGTGGTGTTGTCTCATGGTGACGGAGGGGTAGGTGGTGTTGGCATGGTGGAATTAAGTAGTGTTGTCATGGTGACGGAGGGTAGATAGTGTTGTCATGGTAACGGAGGTGGTGATGTTGTCATGGTGACCGGAGGGTGGAGTGGTGTTGTCATGGTAACCTTGGAGGGTAGGTGGTGTTGGCATGGTGACGGAGGATGGGTGATGTTATCATAGTGACGGAGGGTAGGTGGTGTTTGTCATGGTGACGGAGGGTAGGTGGAGTGGTGTTGTCATGGTAGCGGAGGGTAGGTGGTGTTGGCATGGTGATGTGGAGGGTAGGTGGTGTTGTCATGGTAACGGAGGTGGTAGATGTTGTCTCGCGGTAACCGGAGGTCAAGGTAGGTGTCATGGTAACGGAGGTAGGTGGTGTTGTCTCATGAGTGACGGAGGGTAGGTAGATATTTGTCTTGGTAACGGAGGGTAGGTAGATGTTGTCATGGTAACGGAGGGAGTAGGTAGTGTTGTCATGGTGACGGAGGGTAGATAGTGTTGTCATGGTGACGGAGGGAGTGGAAATTAGTGTTGTCATGGTAACCGGAGGTAGATGGAGTGTTGTCATGAAGTAACGGAGGGTAGGAGTAGTGTTGTCATGGTGATGGAGGGTAGGTGGTGTTGGCATGGTGACGGAGGTAAGTAGTGTTATCATGAAGGTGACGGAGGTGAAATGATGTTATCATGGTAACGGAGGATGGGTGGTATTGTCGTGGTGACGGAGGATGGAAATGAAAGTGTTATCATGGTAACGGAGGGTAGGTGGTGGCATGGTGACGGAGGAGTAGTGTTATCTCATGGTGACGGAGGGATGAGTGGTATTGTCATGGTGACCAGCGGAGGTAGGTGGTGTTGTCATGGTGACGGAGGGTAGATTAATTATTGTCATGGTGTTGACGGAGGGTAAGTGGTCTTGTCTCATGGTGACGGAGGGTAGGTAGTGTTGTCCTTAGTGATGGAGGGTAGGTAAGTATTGTCATGGTGTTGACCAACGGAGGTAGATGAGTAATTGTCATGGTGTTGACGGAGGGTGGGTGGTGTTGTCTCATGGTGACTGGGAGAATTGATAGTGTTATCTGGTGTTGACGGAGATGGAAGTGGTGTTATCTCATGGTATTGGAGGGTAGGTAGTGTTGGCATGGTGATGGAGAATGGAAATGTGGGTGTTGTCCTTGGTGACGGAGGTACGTTAGTGTTGTATGGTGACTGAGGTAAAATTAGTGTTGGCATGAAGGTGACTGGAGGGGTAGGTCGATGTTGTCATGGTGATGGAGGTAAGTAGATGTTGTCTCATGGTGACGGAGGGTGAGTGAGTGTTGGCATGATGACCCAGGAGGGGTGGAGTAGTGTTGTGGTGACGGAGGTAGACAAGTGTTGTCGTGACGGAGGTGATGGTGTTATCGTGGTGGAGGGTAGGTGAGTATATGAGCGTGGAGGTAGATGATGTTATCATGGTGACGGAGATGGAGTAGTGTTATCATGGTGACGGAGGGTAAGTGGTGTTATCATGGTGACGGAGGGTGGGTGGTGTTATCCTTGGTGACGGAGGGTAGGTGGTATTGTCCATGGTGACGGAGGGTAGATAGTGTTGTCATGGTAGCGGAGGTTAAATAGTGTTGTCATGGTGACGGAGGAGGTGGAAGTAGTGTTATCATGGTGACGGAGGGTAGAGTAGTGTTATCATGGTCTGCGGAGGTGGTGGTGTTCATCACTTGGTAGCCGGAGGTAAATTAGTGTATTATGTAGTGACGGAGGTAGATAGTGTTATCTGTGGTATTGGAGGGTAGATAGTGTCATGGTGATGGAGAATTAGGTAAGTATTGTCATGGTGACGGAGGTGGAGTAGTGTTATCATGGTGTGGGAGGGGTAGATGAATGTTGTCATGGTGACGGAGGAGTAGGTAGTGTTGTCATGGTGACGGAGGGCTAGTGTTATCGCTTATGGTGACGGAGGTAGGTGGTGTTATCATGGTAGCGGAGGGTAGAATAGTGTTATCATGGTGACGGAGAGGTAGGTAGTGTTGTCATGGTATTGGAGGTAAAATTAGTGTTGTCATGGTGATGGAGGGTAAGTGGTGTTGTCATGGTGTTTGGAGAATTGGGTAGTGTTGTCATGGTGACGGAGGGTAGGTGGTGTCATGGTGACTGGAGGTAGGTAGATGTTATCATGGTGACGGAGGGTAGGTGGTGTTATCCATGGTGACTGAGGTGGTGGTGTTGGCACATGGTGACGGAGGTGGAATGGTATCATGGTGACGGAGAGTAGTGTTGTCATGGTGACGGAGGTGGAATTAAGATATTGGCATGGTGTGGAGGGTGGAGTGTGTTATCTGTGATGACGGAGGGTAGGTAGTGTTATCCCTTGACGGTAGTGGTGTTGTCATGGTAGCCGGAGGGTAGGTGGTGTTGTCATGGTGTTGATGGAGATGCGTTAGGTGTTGTCTTGGTATTGGAAGGTGCGATAGTGTTGTCATGGTGACGGAGGGTGAGTGGTGTTGTCATGGTGACGGAGGGTAGGTAGTGTTGTCATGGTGACGGAGGGTAGGTAGTGTTGTCATGGTGTGGAGGGTAGGTGGTGTTGTCATGGTGATGGAAGATTAAGTAGTGTTGTCATGGTGACAGGGTGAGTAGTGTTGTCATGGTGACGGGAGGGTGATGATGTTGTCATGGTGACGGAGGGGTAGGTAGGTGTTGTCATGGTGACCCGGAGGTGATGCAAGTATTGTCATAGGCTGAGGGTAAATTAATTATTGGCATGGTGACGGAGGGTAAATTGATGTTGTCATAGTGACGGAGGGTAGGTAGTGTTATCTCATGGTGTTG